AGTGCCTTGTTTTGGAACTTGGAGAAGAAAATTAGAAAATAAATAAATAAGGGATGCATGAAGAAAAAATGTGTTTGTCTTGTTCAGGAGTCGCAGAGAAAGGGGAGCGAGAGGCAAAGAGACAGCAGAGGGAGACAGTGCCAGCCACCATAAAGATCTGCAATTTGACATGTTTCAAGAAGAGATGGCAACTTCATCTTTTTCAGCTCTTCATTTTAAGTCATTTTAATATGACTGTAAACAACTCTGCAGAACTTTTTTTTCAAAAGTGAATTCAAAGGGTTTTTTAACAATCACACTGAACACATGGTGCTTTTTCAAAATTTTATGCGTCCCAGTTTTCTTTATCTAAAATGTTTATGTTTATCTATCTGTTATTCCTTTTGGAGACACTTAAGAGACAGGTTAAACCTACATCGTGATCTCAAAGACATTCAAAGTGAGATGAAGAAGCTTTCCCTCTTACACACACCATTTGGGACATGTGTGTACAGAATATTCCACTAACACTGTCCTGAAAGATTCCACAGTTAGCAGGTTAATCAATAACAGATATCATGTCTGAGTATAGAAGGAGCATCCACCAAAGGCTTAGCCTTTGCAATCAAAGATGGGCTGTGACTCATCACTTTGTGCCAAACTCTCTGAGTGAATTGTAAATCAGTTCAAAAACAATATTTCTTGCTTCTGCCCCCACTTTTTTCAGTGTTGCAGGCATAAAATTCTACATTTGTTTATATTTACAAAACGCTATTAAGTTGGTCAGTGAAAACAATGAAAACATTTGGCTCAATAAAATTAGCAAATCACAGATTTTAGTTTTTATTGTGCACAACACCCAGTAAAGCCATGTTATTGATACATCATTGATCTGGCATTGTTTGCCTTGTTCACACCACAATGAAAGACTGGCGTTTTGAAATGTATCCACTCTGGAGAATGTATTTAGAAAACTCCATTATTTAGGTGTGAAAAACACTGGCTTAGCGTGGACATGACAGAAAAACAGAGCCATAAAAAGAGAGAGTGGTGACCATCTGGCTCAGGTCAGTCTCCCGCAGAGAGTGATGATCACAGTAGGGGTGTGTGTGTGTGTGTGAGAGAGAGAGAGAGAGAGAGAGAGAGAGACACCCCCTGTGGTGAAAGGTGATGAGAGCAGCTGTGTGTCTGACCTCATATCCATAGGAGACCTCCCCTCTCTTAATCTTTTCTTTTACATTTTCCTCCCTCCTACTTCTGCTCCTGTCTTTTTTTTTTTTTTTTTTTTTTAAGCCTCATTTTTTATTTCAGCCTCTATTTCAGTTTTCAACCAAAGACACACCTTCAAAATACAAGCAAAAAACTCTAAGCTTAGCAGGGTAACCACTTTGGCTTCACCTCCTCCACTATTTTGCATCAATTAGCACATCACCTCCAAGATCTGTGTGTGTGTGTGTGTGTGTGTGTGCTGGTGTGCTGTGGGGGAAGGGAAATAAAGGATTATTGTGTGTTGTCAAGAAAATAACAGAGATTTACTTACTGTGTTGCTCAGTCTATTTGAGTGGTTAGCATCAGTATTGTTGATATGGTTACTTGCAGTTTGTTAATGTTAGATATTTTTAGTCAGATAGAAATTGGATAGATACTTTATGTATTAAAAATGTTTAGTGGAGATAGGATGTCTAGTTAGACTGTTAAATGCTTAGGCCTGCTTATGAGTTTCTACAGGGTACATCTGGTCAAGGATAACTAGAGAGAAGAGTTGATGACTGTCAGCAGACAGGGTGTTTAATATTATTATTACGACGTGTATAACTGTAGCCTTAGCCATAATATGTTCTTATGTTTAAGTCACGACATGTACTAGAGGTCGTGAGAACGTTTTTAGCTACACACCACTTAACCAACAGACACACACATTCACACATTGATTTTCTTCATGTTTTGACTACTGCTATGACCAGCTGCAAAGCTGGTAACAGAGACGTCTCGGTTGACGTTTC